TAACAGCAGAGGTTTTAGCGCCGTTCTCATTACAACACACAAAATACTTGCAGAAAAAGTTTTGCTCTGTTCTCAAAAAAACGAGGGGAATAATTATAATATCACTGCGTGTATTGTTTCGTCCTCACATGAAATACTAACACAATAAAATATATATCCGTTCGTTCTTGAAATATCGCGGGGATTAAGTATAAACATAAAATAGCCAGCCTGACGATTTTGTCCGCTGTGTAAATTTCGAGTTATTATAATTATTCATATCTTTAGAAATTCATGGTTTCACACCAAAACATTAGCATAGCGGGACAAATCGTCAGGCTGGCTGCGCTACTGAAAATGTCTAAATAAATTAAGACAAAAAATGGATTTCATAAAATGTTACCATATGAACGTTGTTAATATACGTCTTTTTTACACCAGTGGCGTAGCCAGCCCGACAATTTAGTCATTCTATGCTATTATTTTGGTGTTCATTGACTCTGAAAATAATGAATTTCTAAAGAAATGAATAATGATAACAACATAAAATTTGCATAGCATGTCTAAATCGTCACGCTGGCTACGTCACTGTTTAACACTAAAGGCCATGTTAAACGGCGCAATTTTCCTTGCAACTTGCAATGCAAATCTACTTTAAAGAGATGTAAATTATGAAGAGTCTTTAAAATGTAAGTGTAATGAGCGTCATGGAGCGTAATAAAGACAAAAGTTCGGTAGTAACCAAATTTACATCTCTCAAAAGACGAATTGCATTGCAAGTTGCAAGAAAAGGTGCACCGTGTAACAGGGCCGTAAAAAGCACACGTATTGGTAGGATTAATACGCGACATACCAGGATAATATGTTATTTACTAGTTTCTATACCTTAAAGTCATCTCACGCTTTCTTTAGTGTCGGCTAAGCGAGATCAGTAAATGATATTGATGTATAGGCTATACTTAATCAAATCATGAGTAGAGTCGACGCGCAGGAACCACTGTGCGATATTATTGTGGATATAACAATATTCGGGCATTTGGTTGTTGCAAGCGTTTGCTCAATCTGTTTAATCGACTTGAAAAAACCTCACTGCAGCGCATTTTTTCCCGTGTAGCTCCATTATTATCGTCCACGAGTGCAGCTTTCATTGCAACTACCATGAAGCTGGAGTCTTCATGTGCGTTTGGCTAAGTGTAACTTTCGCTTAGTTTACCGACTTCGTGTTTTATAGTTTCGCAGCCCCACGCTCGGCGATTTTCTTTCGGTAGTCCATTGCGCTTTTTCGACTACATGCGATATAACCCCCACCCCTCCCTTCTCAAAACCTATCTCGCTCGCTATGTCCAGCCTGATTTTAGTAGAACTTTGTATACATATAACTAATATACTGAGCTATATACCAAAAATGCAAATTTCTGTTGTAAGTAATAATATGGATGAACATATGGAGAAACATATGGAGCAATAACACGCTCCATGCATGGAAGATGAATATAGGCTTTCGCCAAGTGGCGTAGCCAGCATCGATAATTGGGGGGGGGGGCATATTCATATATTCATATTAACAGACTGTAAAGACAATTGATTTGAAAAGAAATTAAACCTGCGTATCACGAATATATGAATATGGGCCCCCCAATTATTGTTCTGGCTACGCCACTGCTTTCGCCAGTCATGCAGCACTATACTTCCAATACCAAAAGGAAGGAAATAATTAATGTGCTTTCTGTTTTAAGTGTAAACAAAGGCCTGTATATTGTGTTCTTGCTCTAGATGAATGCATGCACGTAATTTCTGGCCTGTTGTAACAAACATCACGCAATAACGCCTATTTATTGCATGACAAGACTCCTTATAAAAGGCCAAATGAAATCAGTTCATTTTACCAGAACGTATTATTCAGCGTATAATTCAACGTATTATTGAATTAAGCAGGATAGTAAAATTCAGCTCACCCGGACGGTAAGTACCAATTTGTGTCTCTATACCTTAGACGTATAAATGCATTGTTTTTGTAAAATCAGTTTAATAATTGGAAGACATACAAAATAAAATACTTCATGTCTTAGTCTAACGGGATAATTGCGTATTGGCTCGATTGCGTCTTCTACACAAGCGTCAAAAAGCACAACCTTAATACTACACGATTTTGTTGTAAAATTGACATTACAAAATCGTGTAAAATCATGCTATCAACAACTGTTGTTTTAAATATATACAATCAAAGCGTTTGCTGCAATGTATATACGGCAAACACCGCCGCTTGAATTTGACATGACAATGTGTATTTTGAAATGATACAAAAACGACTATAGTTCGGGAGCTCGCGATGCGTAAACAAGTTTTGCTATAGGTTGCCGGTACGCTGAAATTTATTATTACATTAATAAACGACGTCATTCAACCTGAATTCGGGACCGAACATTTTACGATTTTTTAAAACTTCTTCGGAGAAACAGATTATTGCTTGCATATACTTCTACACCTGAACATAATTATTGCAATGATATTGTCAATCATCCTTATATTATCCATTTAATCTTTTGATTTTGTTTTCAGGTCAGGATCAAAATGTCGATTTATGTTTTTCTGGGGGTCGTTCTGTTTTTGAATGCTGTCGTCTTTCCAACTGGAGATGGTCTATCCCTTAGCAATAGGGAGATAAAGAGAGGAGAGATTCAAAGGCACTGTTACTGGATTGGCTCTTCTGCTGGTACAGATGAGTGGTGTGATGTGAATTGCAATCATGTTCCTCCATATTGTCCTCCATCATTTTGTAGTTGCTGGCCATATGCATATTAGAAGTAACAACGTTTTAAACCATTTAATTACCAATACTATAAGGATTTGTAGTTATAGCACCGTGGTCAAAAAATGTCCACGAGTGGTTAATTAGATCATTTGTAAGTGTATGTAAGTGTAGTGATTAATTTAAAATACAGCACTTCTGGAAACCAAAATATTAGTCCCAAAAAAATACCGTATCTTTCTTTAAAGTCCGATGTTGAAGTCCATTCACCCATAGTCATTTAGCCGTGCGTTTCAAAAAATTTCAGTTACTGCAGTTCGCTAGTGAGAAATATGTGTATTCTCTTTTGAATTTAAAAGCATAAGTAAATTAGTCCATCTAGACTGTTCTACTTAAAAGAAAATATTTAAATATTTCCCAATCCAACTGTTTCCACGCAAAATAATATAAATCTTACCTAATGGCATACAACATGGCATTAACGAACAGGTCGACTTTATTAGCGCCGTGTTATTGCCTCATACACATTGATTCTTTTAAAGTTGGAGTTCATCCTTTAATAACGCAATTCTTAATTAAAAGGGGTATTTAATTTAAGACCTTCAGAACCCAGGTATTCACATAGCTACTTGGAGTGTCTCGAAGGTATTAAATTTCATCAAGTCTCTTCGCCCCCATGATGAGACAAGTTATGTGAATTAAAAGTTTACTGCAATTAGCAGGATTGATATACAGGTATATTTTCGGTACATTCTTCAAGAGGTACAGCTACGTACGTCGACCGCGTTCAATCTATGGATATCAGTATTTTGTCCATGTCAGAAATTTTGTCCATGGCAGACACCTTTCTGAAGTTCTATACAAGCCGCAGTTTAATTCTACACCGCTTGGGAATGCAGTTTTATCGGTCAGGAGAATGTTAACGGGTTTTAAGGGCTTTAAACATCGATTGTTAAAGTCGACTATCTCGAAATATAATTGTAGATTATGCAATTCTTTTTTGTGGGTAGCCACTGCGCATGCATGGCTAACCACTATATAGGTGAAAAAGTGTCTGTGGGTATACGTACGTCTGTCGTTAATCTTCGGCTTTCCTCGGATAAACGAAAGGTGACGAACATACCGTTCGTGGGTTTGTGAATGGCTATCTTTAAAAGGGGAAACGGGGAATCGGGGAATGGGGGAATCGGGGAATCGGGGAATGGGGAATGGGGGAATCGGGGAATGAGGGAATCAGGGAATGGGGGAATCGAGGAATGGGGGAATCGGGGAATGCGGGAATCGGGGAATGGGGGAATCGGGGAATGCGGGAATCGGGGAATGGGGGATTCGGGGAATCGGGGAATGGAGGAATCGGGGGATGGGGGAATCGGGGAATCGGGGAATGGGGGAATCGGGGGATGGGGGAAACTGACAAGGGAAACTGACATAAAGGGAAAATGCGATTCATTGAGATAAAAAACGCGATAAAGGATAGGAATAGCCTGAAAAGCGGCTCTCAGAGGGGATAAAAAGCCGTTTGAATTGAGCTCAATCTGCTTGTAAACAAGCCAACTGAACTAGCGAACTTTGATTTGAGTAGACATTGATGGCGTTTACACACTGCAAGATAGTTCTTTGCACAGTTAAATTGTACCATGTGGCCTTTTGCAACACCATCAATAGGGTGGTTCCAAGCCTAGGCTACATAGCCTTTAATACGACTTGTTTGCTTTCCCGTTCCATGGCTTATTCTTAATTAATGCATGCTAGAACTGAAGGTCTTCTAAATATTTAGAACAAATTTGACTAACTTCACAAATAACCTCACGAACAACCCTCTGCTCTGTGTGGAGACTGTAGTTTATGACCCAGCATGCATAGCGGGTCAAAGAGGACCGACACGTGTTGACATTGAGCCTCAGAATAAGTATTGTAATGGCTGAAGTTGAGTTGTATCATTTACAAAATTAAATCGAAAACACTACACTGGCGACGAGGATGGGATTATGAGCAATTAGTTAAAGATTCAAGTCACAGAAACGGCATTTATTCAGTCTGAAGTGACATAAATAAAGCGATGAATTCGATTGGCAAACTAGAAGAATTTGACGAAACACGCGAGAACTGGACGGCATATATAGAAAGAGTGGAACAATATTTCCTTGCAAATGATGTAGAAATTGAAAAAAAAGTGGCAGTTCTGTTGACCGTAATCGGAGGTAAGACGTATAGTTTATTACGAACACTAACCTCCCCTGAAAAACCGGCAACAAATTCATTCGATGAAATAATGGCAATCCTTAAAGAACATTTATCACCCAAACCCCTGCTTATAGCAGAACGATTTAGATTTCATAAGCGAGATCAACGAGAAAACGAAAATATTCATATCTATGTGGCCGAAATTAGAAAGTTATCAGAACATTGCGAGTTCGGGACAGCATTAAATGACTCCTTAAGAGATAGATTAGTGTGTGGATTACGCAATGAAGCTATTCAGAAACGAATACTTGTCGAAACTAGCCTTACGTTTGAGAAAGCGCTCAAAGTCGCCGTTGCCATGGAAGCAGCTACGAAAGATTTAGTCGAGTTAAGAGGGAAAGCCAAGACTGAACTTCCTGTGTACACGATGCGCGAAACGCCAAAACAACATAGGTGTTATAGATGTGGCAAAGAGGGACATGACTCCCAACAATGTCATTTCAAAGATCAATACTGTAGGAACTGTCGGAAGAAGGGACACATAAAACGAGTGTGTAGGGGGAAATCTCAGCAACAATATACCCCCCCAACGGCACCATCAAGGAAGAAAAAAGGGGAGCAGGAAGTACATGAAGTTCAGAATGAAAGTGATAGTGATAGTGAGGATACCTTAGCATCCTTAAAAATACACAAAGTTGCCAAAGGACACACTAACATAATCTGGGTCACACCTGAAGTAGAAGGAAAATCCCTTCAAATGGAGTTAGACACTGGCTCAGCTGTCTCTGTCCTCCCACTGAAGCAATACAATGCAATGTTTAAATCATTTGAACTCCACCCAACAACCACTGTCCTCAAAACTTACACTGGTGAAAAGATCCAACCCAAAGGGGTCATGAATGTCCAAGTTCAGTATAAGGAAGAGAAACAGAAGCTAAATTTGTATGTTGTTGATACAAAGGGGCCTGCTCTCTTTGGCAGAGACTGGCTTGAAAAGATCACACTAGATTGGAAAACAATCAATGTCTTGTCAGCTACACCACCTAGAAACCCACTCACCCGAGTACAAGAGATCTTTGACAAGTTTACTGATATCGGTCGCCTAAGTACAGTCAAAGCAAAGTTAACATTGAGAGAAAACAGCCAACCAAAGTTCTGTAAAGCTAGACAAGTGCCATACGCTTTACGACCAAAAGTTGAGGCAGAGTTGACCAAGTTACAAAACGACAACATTTTGACCAAAGTCGAGTGGAGTGAATGGGCAACTCCTGTTGTTCCTGTAATAAAGAAGAATGGGAACGTCCAAGAATACCCCCTTCCAAGAATTGATGATATTTTTGCCACCCTCGGAAGGGGGGGGAAGTTCAGCAAGATTGATCTACGGCAAGCATATTTACAAGTGGAAATGGAAGAAGAATCAAAGAAACTACTAACAATCAATACACACAAAGGACTATTCCAGTACAACCGACTTGTATTTGGTGTGGCTTCTGCTCCTGCAATTTGGCAGCAAGCCATGGATCAAATATTGGAAGGAATTCCCCACGTGAAATGCATTCTGGATGATATGTAGCAAGTAGCAAGTAGCAAGTGTGAGTTCTTCAAAGAAAGAATTGAGTTTTGTGGTCATGAGATCAGCAAGCTGGGTCTACACAAGTCCCAACAGAAAATGGATGCTGTGCTGAATGCACCACGACCTGAAAATGTTTCCCAAGTTCGTTCCTTTGTTGGTCTCATCAACTATTACCACAATTTTCTTCCAAACCTTTCCACCTTACTCCAACCACTAAATCAGCTGCTGGAGAAAGACAAGCCATGGAAATGGACCCCTGGATGTGAGCAAGCGTTTCTCAAAGCAAAGGAGTTAATTGCATCGGAGGAAGTCCTGGCACACTATGATCCTCAACGTCCTATCAAGTTAGAGTGCGATGCTTCCCTATGGGCTAGGGGCAGTCCTAACACAGGTCATGCCCGACAATACGGAGGACCCCTAGCGTATGCATCAAGGTCACTCACAAAAACGGAAAAACATTATTTAGAGATTGACAAGGAGGCACTGGCATTAATATGGTGGGTGAAGAAATTCCACACTTACATATTTGCACGACACTTCACTCTGCGAACAGATCATAAACCCCTCACGGCAATTTTCAGTCCAACCAAAGCCATACCAGCAATGACGGCCGCCCGCCTGCAACGGTATGCGCTGTTTCTTTCAGGATTTGACTACGAGATCGAATACCACAGTTCGATAAAACATTGTAATGCAGATGAATTATCCCATTTACCCCTAGCTACAACGGAAGATAAAGATCAGTCAGTTGACCCAGTAGAGGCATTTCACGTATCACAGTTCAATATGTTGCCTATCACTTGTCAGCATGTACGTAAAGAAACCCAACGGGATTCGACCCTGGGCCAAGTGTATGAACATGTTTTATAAAATAACATGTATATAACGCGTGTTCTGATTGGTTGAAGCCCGTGTTTGGATCAGGCCATCCAAACACGGAAATTTCGCGGGAATTTAAAAACAAATTTATTATGATAATTTTCTTGTATGATTGCATGGCGACTTTAGTAATTATAATAACTTGTAGGTACACCACGTAAGTATTAAATACTGCAAAGCTTTCGGTCCGTTAACCCGGACCTTCATCAGTGCAATTACTTGAATACACGTTTGCGCGTCACTTAAATATCATGTTAGTCGTGATTAGTTTGCTCGCGCTATTAATTAAATGAAACCGTTTAATTAATAGCGCGAGCAAACTAATCACGACTAACAAAGCCCGTTAACCCGGACCTTCATCAGTGCAATTACTTGAATACACGTTTGCGCGTCACTTAAATATCATGTTAGTCGTGATTAGTTTGCTCGCGCTATTAATTAAATGAAACCGTTTAATTAATAGCGCGAGCAAACTAATCACGACTAACATGATATTTAAGTGACGCGCAAACGTGTATTCAAGTAATTGCACTGATGAAGGTCCGGGTTAACGGACCGAAAGCTTTGCAGTATTTAATACTTACGTGGTGTACCTACAAGTTATTATAATTATTAAATTTATTATGGTTTGTTATTTTATAAAACAATTACTTAATGGTTTCCGTGTTTGGATGATCTGATCCAAACACTTGGGAATGTTGCTCGAGTTAAGAAAAGCTCGCAAAACACTCGTCTTCGGCTCGTGTTTCGCGCACTTTTCTTAACTCTCGCAACATTCCCGCGTGTTTGGATCAGGCCATCCAAACACGGAAACCATTAAGTAATTGTATAATGAAAGGTTGGCAACAAAATAAAGACCCCACTCTCGCACCATTTTATGCACGGAGAAACGAACTGACAGTGCACCAAGGATGCATTATGTGGGGAGGTAGAGTTGTTATTCCTACGAAGTTACGAAGCGAGGTACCGGTACTGCAAACATTACACGAAACTCACGTTGGTGTCGTCAGAATGAAAGCCTTGACGAGAAGTTACGCCTGGTGGCCAGGGATTGATGTCAAGATTGAAATGTTAACGAAAGGTTGCAGTGGTTGTCAGCGGACTAGGCATGCCCCCAAACATGCGCCTCTACACCCCTGGGAATGGCCATCGACCCCCTGGCAACGTATTCATATCGATTTTGCGGGACCTTTCCTTGGAATGATGTTTTTAGTGATCGTGGACGCTCATTCCAAATGGCCAGAGGTGATTATCATGCACTCTAATACAACAACACCCAAAACAGTTGAAGCTCTACGAACAGTGTTTGCTCGGAACGGGATACCACAACAACTCGTCAGTGACAACGGTCCGCAGTTTACTGCAGGAGAATTCCAGATGTTTTTAAAGAAAAACGGAGTTAAGCACATAACATCTGCACCATATCATCCAGCAACGAATGGATTAGCAGAAAGATTCATTCAAACTTTAAAACAATCGCTGACGTCAATGAAGGAAGAACCAGGCCCCACACAGACTAAGCTATCTAAATTCCTAATGAAATACAGAAATACGCCCAGTGCTGTAGAGCTAAATTAGCCAGAGGGGGGGCTCTGTTGACGAGCGTAAAGCTGTTAAATCGTAAAAAATGCGTGACGTCATCGTAGACGTCATAGATGTTCGCAACACATGACTGATATGACTCATAGATGACAGATCGTAACTCATAATTCTTCTTATAAGTCTAAAGTTTATAACGACCTTCAGAATAGAATCTTTATAGTTCATACCTTGAATAGACCTGACACACACATACATCTATATATGACCGCATTTGGCGTTTTAAATAGTAGACTGGTAGTCCGCTCAACTTATGAATGATTTTCAAAGTAGTAACAATGACACCATTACATTGTGTATTAATATTAGTCTACTACTAAAGATCACTAGCACAAGTTGATGTCTTGGCTCCTCGACTTTCATGTTAGTGTCACACTGTTACTTTACAAAAAAATCGTTGTAAAGGTGTGAGCTCTGCTTCTTTCGTCTGCTTCGTTTTTCTAGTTCGATTACTTTCGGCAGACATGTGGTGTTCCAGCCAATGTTGGACAGCTGAACGTGTCTCCCAAAATTGTACAGGTGGACTATTGATGCTTATAAACATCAAGGAGGACAAATGAGAAACATATATGCTAGAACGAGACTTTGTGCATACTAAGTTCATTTGTGAAAAGCCCCTCTCTGCCTCTGCGCTACTGACTGGTATAATTTGAATGAACCCTTTCAGGAGCCTTTCTCCAACAAGCGAGGGAACGTTTCGAGGATCACTGAAAAATTCTCGATAGGAGTAATAATGCCGGTCGAATCGATGTTAAATCTCTTGCAAAGTGACATGACATCTTGCTCACCTTTGAGCCATGGAACCTTTTCCCCCCTGGGCCATTTGTCTGGGCAGAGGGACTCAATTTGGTTTAACAATATCTCCAGATGAACGATCCTTTTTTTTGAAGGTTATCAATCAAACCCTGCAGAAATTGCTTTCGATTGAACGATTTGTATCCAGTTCGAGACTGGAATGACTTTAATTCCACGCCTTTAAATTCGACTGAGGAATCGTAAATTGTCCTAAATTCATATTTTTTTCTCAAAGAATCTTTTATCTTTTCCAGTGCGTTTATCGTCCATTGCAAGTATTCGGATGCTTTAAGGAGCGTGGTGCAATCCTTCTGTAGTGATTCGGACAAAATTGAAAGTTGCCCAAGGCGGTCTTTCATAATTGCTACGTCTTCGACGAACTCTATCGTTTCCATACGTTTTGCTAATCCCGCATATGTTGCTTTGTGTTTATCCGTAGACTGTGAAAGCGTATAGAAATGCTTGTATAGTGCAGGATAATTTCTCCAAAAAGATTCCACTGCACGGGAAGAAGATGCAACCCATCTTGTTGTCAAAATTTTGTCCACTTTGCGCAGCTGGACATCTAGTTCAGCAGCAATATTTTTTGGTTCTCTTTGTAGTTTTGCTGACTGCATGAGAATAAATCGTGTAAATCTTACCAAAAAAATCCTCAATTGGTTGAGTACCATCAACAGCTCTTATTGTATCTGATACCGCTAATTCTAATCTGTGATTGAGACAATGCCACAAAATAATTTGTGGATACTTCGACTTAAGTAATGTCGCGACGCCTTTGATTGCCCCCGTCATTACTGATGCGCCATCACTGGTAAAAGCAATAAAGTTTTTGGCCAGGTATTCGTCATTGATTCCGTTACTTTTCAGCGTATCTAAAAGTGATTCACAAATTGAATTTGCGTCTTGACCCCCTAGTTCAATGATACTGAGAAAAATGTTAACAGGGAACCCGTTTATGATCGACCTCACATACACAACCAGGCAGGAATCCTTTGCATTTGAGGTAGCTTCGTCAATTATAATGGCGATCTTTTCGTTATTTTTGGTAATTTCTTTGATAAGATCTTTGCGCATTGTTGTGGCAATTATGTCAATCATTTCCGTACATGACGGCCTTGAGTGTAGAGTTACCCCGAGATTGATTCCATTTCTCTTTTGCAGCTTTATTAGATTCTCATAGTCTGAGTATGGCCTGTTTTCTTTAGCAACATAGTAGGCAGTTCTGAGGCATTTTTCAGTAGTTGATTGATGTTGTGCAACAGACAAGCCAGTTGAGCTCTGGATTTTTCTCTTTTGTCGTTCTTTGAGTATGTTGGTTGCAGTTACGTGCGCATTACTCTTTGCATGCTTGGTTATTTTTTTTCGTAAGTACTTTTGTGCTGCTGATGTTGCACGGCTCTTTGTTTTGCATGGAAAAACAGTACACTCTATCCATTCTTTACTTAAATGGCTTCTTTGTTTAGCATGCAGTCCAAGAGTGTTAACGTTTCTACATTCGCGACAAGCTTTCCATTTGAAAAAATAATCCAGGGATATGCACTAGTGAAGTAATCTTGTTGCTTAACAGACCAGCATAAAGGTGCAATCGAATGAATAGATCGAGATGAATGTTCACAAGAATTCGAAATTTCATTGACATTGGAGGGATTAAAGTTAGCATTTAGCAAATCGGCAGCAAAACTGAATTCGCTCAAATCGTTTTTCATAGTTTCTAGGTTTCTATCAAA